CACAGCAGCCTCTACCATCAGTGTGTGAATGTGTATGAATGGATGGATGGAAGTTTAAAAGTGTGTGCTTCTCGTACAGAGCAGCATCCCCTTGTGGTAATGTAGAGAAAAACAAGAAACTTTATCTAATAAATGTCAAACAATTGAACAAAAAGGAAGAACCCCAAATATAAGAATATATCCAGTGGGTGTAGGGACTCTAAACAGATTCTTTCGGTATGATTGATGATTCAGTCATTCTTGTAACTATTTACTAAATGTAAACATGTTGTGTTTCTGCCTCTTGGGTTTTGTAGTTCATGATTTCATTACTGTGATGCCACCTTCAAAACTTAAAACTTCTCATTCTTTGAGGCTGGCTTCTGGAAATGTTCAAACACTCAAACTGCCCTCTCTTTAATTCACAAGTTGATAACATCGTTAACGTGTCGAAAAACCTGTGGGGAGGATAAAGGATTTGTCAGGATTAATTATTTTAATAAAAGAAAACTATGAATTCAGCTAAAGAAAATCAACCCGAGAACGTGAAGTATCCTCGGGATGTAAGGACGAACATCACTTTTAATATTACACCCTAAGAGTTAGGGGCTTTTTTTATTCAAATAAAGTTAACTTCTCAGGATTGGTATTAATGTTTTCATTGATTTCTTTTTATTTGATCTCCCGTGCAAACAGTATGTACGTAAAGTGTACAATTTCCAGTTCCACTCGTTCTTATATTGATTTCCCCTGCATTCAGGTTGACTGGAAACTTTATTTTGTAGGCTTAAACCGGAAGTCCGTGCTTTTATTTTGCCTCAGCTGTCACCGGCATTACACATAACAGGCTGTTTTTTTGAACTGTCATCATGCAGCACGACCTATGAGCACGACTGAGGACACAGAACACAATACCAACAGCCTGGCTGTGTTTCACCATGTGACGTTATTCACACCGTACAGGTATGTGTTCGGAGTTTCCCGGAACATTACATTTCTCCGGAGAGTCAGTAAACATACCCTGACAGACGTTTCACCGAGAATGGAGAGCTGTCCCGAACAAACGCCCCTCTTCACCTTCGGGGTGATAGCGGACATTCAGTACGCAGATATCGACGACGGGTTTAACTTCACCCGGACCCGGAGGAGGTACTACCGGAGCAGCCTCCAGCTTTTAAAAAACGCCATAGACTGTTGGAGAGAGTCCACCGTGAAACCGGAGTTTATCCTCCAGCTCGGAGACATCATTGACGGTTTTAACAAGAATCACGACACCTCACACCGAGCTCTGGACACGGTGCTGACCGAGCTCAGCTCCGGGCCCGCCGAGGTCCACCATGTGTGGGGGAACCACGAGTTTTATAACTTCAGCCGGAGCGAGCTGCTACGTTCACGGCTCAACAGCACTCTACACTCCGAGAAGAGCGTGAACGCAGCACCGGCTGACGGTGAGGTGTACGCGTACAGCTTCAGCCCGGTGCCCGGTTTTACTTTCGTTATTCTGGACGGTTACGATGTGAGTCTGCTGGGCAGAGAGGAGAGCAGTGACCGGTACCGAGACTCCCTGAGTCTGATCCGAGAACACAACGACAACGACGACCTCAACTGTCCGGGTAGGTTACCACGGTTACCACGGTCACCAAGGTTACCAACATCACTGCGGCCCTTATGTTTTATTGTTTTCAAACAACTAATGTATATCGATTAATTATATTGTTATAACTTTTTATTTTGACTGTTAATTTAGAGAAACCAATGCAAAAAATAACAGACAGATTTTGACCACATCTAAAAAATGTTAAAAGAAAATCTGATAAAAAATTCAGAATTCTTACGTTGTTTCCTGAAGAAATAAATCAAATTTTGAAAATAGAAGAAGAATTAAATTTCTGTGGTAAAATTCTGACATGTAAAAAAGAAACTCTGGTTTGTGTGGACTGTAGAGCTTAATTATGTTTCATTTTCCATTTTAATACTCCTGTTATTGTATGTTTATTTTAATGTGGACCCCAGAGAGAACACATTTTTCAGCTTTGGACCCCCAAAATAATGGTGCCAGAGACAGCGACAGTGTTGTCAAAGTCACAGAAGATACCCTAGCTTTAGAATCTTGAGTTTAAAGTTTGATTTTGAGGACAAAGTCAGAGCAGAGTTTCAGTTCAGACTTCTGACGTCATTTTCAGGAGAGCCAAACAAAAAAAGAACTATTCAGAATACTTTGGTCCCTCAGAACTCTTCACACGTGGTCTTTATCCTCGTCTGCGTACCTCAGCTTTTGGTGCGTTCCATCTGATCTCGGAGGTCATAAATTACAAACACTGGTGTGATACGTCATCGGGAACGCCTCCTGAAGTTGGAACTCCGACTTGGAAACACAGAGCAACTTCAGTACTCCGAGTTAAGATTCCAACATGGCTGCTAAGTGCATCAGCAGTAATGTTTAAAACGGTAACAATTAGCAACACACGCCTCTTTTAGTGTCATTAAATCCATCACACTGAAAGTATCGAGCAACTTCTACCTGTGGACATGTTGTCGTGTTATCTTCACGCACAAACGACCGTGTAGTGTGTCGTTCTCGTCTGGTATTAGCTATCAAAACAAAGGTAGGTCTGGAGGCGTCCATGTTGCTTAACTGACTTGCAACTGGAACGCCAATAACTCGGGTGTGACGTCATTCCAAGTCCCGAGATTCGAGTTCTGAGGAACATTGAACGCACCATTCGCTTTTTCAGAGAATCTCCCCGTCTTGTTGGTGAGGCCTCCAGAGACGATCCTGTCATCCTCTCTTTTCATCAGACCACCACGGTGACACACAGAGGACGAGGAGACTGATGATGATGATGTTAACTTTTTTGTGTTTCAGTGTTCAAAGGTCTGGAGGAGAGATACACGATGTTTAACGGAGGCTTCAGTAAAGTCCAGCTGGACTGGCTTGATTCTGTTCTGTCGTCATGTGATGAGAAACAGGACCGAGTCACTGTCGTCTGTGAGTATTCCTGCTGTCCGTAGCGCCTGCGACCTCCGCTTCAGAGCGCTTCTCACCAGCGTTCGTTGTTGCTAGGTTACCAAAGTTATCCCCAACGTCCCTCTGTAATGTCCGTCAGGTGTGTTTTAGCTCTGTGTTTCATTTTTACTTAAATTAAATATAAATCTCACTAAGAAAAACATGGATGTAAAAGTGTCCTGACGTCAGCATCATCTCCACACCTGAAACTGTTTCCTCCAAAAGACGAGTCAGACGAGCGCCTCCTCGCCGTTGTTGTTGACGAAGCGCATATCAGAAGTCCCGCCCCTTTTCTATTTTGATTCGTCAGCGAGGGAGAAGTGATGATGATGTCATGTTGTGTTCATCATGGTCGGTCCTTCAGGCGTTTTCAAAGTGTCCTTTCTTTCTTTCTTCCCTCGCTCAGGTCACCTCCCCGTCCACCCTGACTCCACCACCCCCATCTGCCTCGCCTGGAACTACGACGAGCTGCTGGCCGTCCTCCGCTCTCACCGCTGTGTGGTGTGCTTCATGGCCGGGCACGACCACGAAGGAGGATACCACAAAGACGAAGACACGGGGACGCACCACCTCACCTTGGAGGGCGTCATCGAGACTCCGCCCGACAGCAACGCCTTCGCCACCGTCTCCGTGTACGAGGACAGGATGGAGCTGAGAGGATACGGGAGGGTTCGGGATCGGGTGTTCCTGTTTCCGTGGCGACCACAGGAGCAACATGACGAATGCAATGACAGATTCACGGATTAAAATAAATATCTGTTAGCTTTGAATTCAAAGACAGACATTCAGATTTATTTTATTTCCTTAATTTGAAGAAGTAAAAAAAAAAAAAACGACCTGCACGGCAGACACACACACACACACACACACACACACCGTCGAGGGAGAACTGTGTGTGTTTGTGTGTGAGTTTAACGGGACATTAACAGTCCATAGGCGCCTAAAACAGCACCCAAAAGAATCAGTTAATTTAGTAAAGATGATTGCGCTGCTCGTCTGTGTTAACTACTCACTTTAACAAACATTCACCAGAGACGCTGACATCTTTAACTTCTGTTGGACACAGCCTCATGTTGATTTATGTTTTAAATGCAGAGTCGTGATGAATTACCTCAGCTGAACAGAAACAGTACCTCTGATTATCTTTTTCTACTTTTTATTGTTTAATTCTGACAGAGAGGGGGATATTTCTCCTGTTTTGATTATTTTATATTCCAGAGGTAAAATGACACACTTTGAATAATTATACTCTCAGATTTTAAGATGGAGGAGGTTATTTTCTACTGCTGCCTTTTTTTTCAAAGCAGCGCTGGTTTATTTTCTTACTCTGTTGTTTTTTTGACGGATGTGTCGGGTGATGTGGATTGATTTAAAAATGCAATTCTGTGTTTTACGACGTAAATCGATGCAAGATGCTATAAAACATCATAATGACAGCTGTAGTTCATCTCTGGCGTTCTGTGCTGCGTTCAAGTTCCACAGGGAAGGTGGGTGATTCAAACTGTCTGAGAGGTTTGGTTTTTTGAACCAGGCTGTAAACATGTTAATCTCTGCTGTAAAAAAAAAAAAAAGGTTTTGTTGAATGGGTGTGTATGTGACTTCCTGTGCTTCTGCAGCCAGCCTCTAGTGGACAATCAAGGAACTGCAGGATTCTACACTTCAGCATCTGCTTCATTTTCAAACACCGGAGGTTACTGCCCAGTCAAACATCTTGTTTTTGTTCTTTATTCAGCATTTAAAATAACAAACAGATATTTAAACTGTTGAAAATTTCGCAAATTATTCTAAGAAGCTAATTTAGATCACAAATAAAAGTATAACAACCAAACTGATCAGAAAACAACAATACATAAATATATAATAAATTAAAATAAATGTAAGCTATATAATATGTATATGTAGTATAATATAAGTGTAATTCTTTATAAATCAAATATGTCAATCATCTTGCTGTGAAGCTGTGGTTTCCTGTAATTTACGACCGTCCATGAAGGCATCAGCGGCACAGACGTGGCCGTGGTGCAGCTGATGCGTTCAGGTGTCGCAGTGTCCCGTGTGAAGACAGAAAGGGCGAAGTTTCTCTGCACTGCAGCCTGGCCGCTGCTGCCGGAACCAGCAACACAACAATGGCGACTCCCAGTCGGGACAGCAACTTCACCAGCAGCTCCACCAGCGGTTCCAGTAACACCGGAAACACCGTCGGATCCACGTCGCACCATTTTCACCCGCAGACTCAGAGCAGCAGCATGCAAGGTACAAACCCCTGGGTTATGTTTTAACTGGGGACACTGGAGTTAGTGGGACAGGGGAACTCGTAGCTTCACAGAAACCACAGTAAAGCTAAACAGGAACACGTGCGTCGTCCGGCTTGGATTTTCAAAATAAATTCCCTTAGGCCGCTCTAGCTAACATTTATCGTTTATTTTCAGAAATATAGAAGTTCATTACGTTTTTAATAATGTTCTAGTGATGTTAATGTAAATTATAAGCTTTGATCTGGTTCTTTTAAGTGACAGTCTGCTCTCAATATTTTAATATAATTTCATTTGTGTTTAGGGCCATGCAGGAACTATGAGGTCTGTGAATCTTAGTTTTAATAATGCATAGTAATGCATATTATCTATATAGCTCTTTTCAAAAACACTGAAGGACTTTAAAGAGCTACACTCAGACAAAACAAGAATACTAAAGACCTTTTCTCTGCCATTAATCTGTGGCATCACATTAAAGACGGTGCAAAGTTGTCAAAAGGCTTTATGGGTTACTTCATTATCCTGTGATTTTAAATTACAGTGTATAAACTGATATTGTGACAGTGGATAAATAGTATCGATATCCAAATCTTCAGTCATATATGTCTAATTTGGTTAGTGTGTAGGAGTTTACCTCTACAGACAATTAGAGAGTTAAACACTTTTTACCGGTCATATTCACGCAGGCTAATGGAAATGCATCCACAGAACAATAAGGACACTTAACTTTTATTACATATAAACTTAAGATAGTTTGTCCTGAAAGATCTGCCCCCAGGAATGAGATCTACACAGTTTCAGTAGTGTTAGTTGTGCATATCAACCTGATATCAACATATAGGCTTTTATTTTGAAGGCGGAAGTGTGTAACTTCCGCTAACGCCCGCGCTTTTACCGGCTAGCTTGACGAAGCTACATGGCTAACAGGCTAGCAGCGATGCAGAAGCTCCAGTTTAGCTGCTGAGCCGACAGACATGAAGTAAAGTTTCTTTATTTTATGTACCACAATGAACAAACTTTACTAGACACACAATTTAAAAATCAAACAAACTTCATTAGTTTAAAGGCGCGTCCAATAAAAGTGAATCCACAGACATGATTAGCATCACAAAGCTAGAACAACAACCACCGAGGCCTACCTACGCTGAAGTGATCCTCTCTGCTTCACGTTAGTCAGGACCAGAGAGTGTAAAGTCAGGACCAGAGAGTGTAAAGTCAGGACCAGAGACTGTAAAGTCAGGACCAGAGACTGTAAAGTCAGGACCAGAGAGTGTAAAGTCAGGACCAGAGAGTGTAAAGTTAGGACCAGAGACCATCAAGTCAGGACCAGAGACTGTAAAGTCAGGACCAGAGACTGTAAAGTCAGGACCAGAGACCATCAAGTCAGGACCAGAGAGTGTAAAGTCAGGACCAGAGACTGTAAAGTCAGGACCAGAGAGTGTAAAGTCAGGACCAGAGAGTGTAAAGTTAGGACCAGAGACTGTAAAGTCAGGACCAGAGAGTGTGAAGTCAGGACCAGAGACTGTAAAGTCAGGACCAGAGACCATCAAGTCAGGACCAGAGACTGTAAAGTCAGGACCAGAGACTGTAAAGTCAGGACCAGAGACTGTAAAGTCAGGACCAGAGAGTGTGAAGTCAGGACCAGAGACCATAAGGTCTTTATTTATCATGTAAATATTCATTTTATTTTGAGGATGAATAACCAGTAGATGTCAAAGACCTTTATCGTTAATGTGTTTGATAAATATCAAGATTTTATTTCATTTAAAGTGTACTATTTAGTTTTAGTGGAGAAATGTGAAAGTTGTAGAAGTGTACAGATTCTGAGGTAAATGTTCATAACTCTGTACACAAACTGTCCTCAGAGGAACATGTGGTCCCTGTAACTGTTTGAAGATAAAATGCTACGTGAGAAGTTATGGTGGATGGCCCACAACAGTGAAAGCGTAACTCTCCTGGTAGCTTTATATCTCCAAACAGTGTTCAGGGGCCCAATTTTTCTTTGAGTAAAGTTTGTGTATATAGTTCAGAAAATATAGCATAGAATTTATTCACTTCTCCAACTTTAAAATTTTACTTCCAAATCTACATTTGGTGCTGTTGGCTCAGCAGCTAGGGGACCGCTTTCTGTGTGTTTCTGCGTATTTTTTGGTACTTTACGTTAATTTTCTGTTTATATATTAACGTCCAGGTTTACAACCATCCGACTCTTTATTCATGTGATGTGATGTCTGATGTTTTAAAGGCCGTAGAGGCTGTCACGTCAGGCTGGTGTTGAATAATGGATGTTACAGATGTTAGCTGCTGGATAAAGCCCTGTGTCCACCTAGCATTTTTCCGGGCAGAAAAGCTCCGGCTGTGCACTCGGGAGTGTTTGCATGAAGCGTTTGAGCGATGAGAAGAAAAGCGCAGCTCGTCCGTCCTGTCTCCATGACAACAGTCTGTTGATAACGGCCGCTGTATGACCGACAATGCTCAATTACTTTTTACTGCATGTTTTATATTTGAGATCGTTTATTTCCCGATCCGACATGAAGCGGGGAGGATGTAGGGACAAGACATGATCTGTAGGAGACAAAACTATGGGGAATATCATACATTTAGAAAAGAGCTCCGGTGACGTCAACAGCGCCTTTCTGAAAAGAAGAAAGATTGAGCGCTCGGAGCGGCCGCCTGCTGCTGCGAACGCTCTCTACGCATTAGAAACAATTGAAAAAAAGACGCTCAGAAAAAAACGCCAGGTGGGCACGGGGCCTAACAGATGATATTTTATATTTTAATTTTGAATGTCCTGATAAAGAGTCATGAACGGTGACAGGTCAGAGCTGCTTTGAACCAGATGTGATGTGGCAGATGTTTGGTATGAAATGTTTGATCTAAACCTTACAGAAACCAACACCTGCTGGAGATGTCAGAACGAAACAGGTATTCACTTTTACTTAACCAGCTCTCAGTCTGGAAGGTTTTTTTTATATTCTTTGTGTTCAACAAAGAAAATCATCCTTCAAATGTTCCTCATCCACCTTCTTCTTCTTCTTCTTCTGTTGATCATTTCCTTTCTTTGACTGAATGTTAATTTTGTTTTATTGTTTTCATATCAATCTGGAGTTCTGATCTTCACATGTGCATGTTTTTAATCAGGTTTCCATGGCGACACATTAGACCGACCCCGATTAATGAGACTCTAGTCTACACTTTAAGAGACACCTGTCTGTCTGAATACGATCAACATGTGCCTCTTCTTCTTCTGATGAAACATCTCACTCTTATGATTCTCTGCTGCTGCTCTTCTGGCTTAAAGTAATAGATAAACATCAGACCCGTTGACATTCAGCTTCAGTCAAACTTTATCAAGAGTCATGCACCATATAATAATCCTACGGGGGAAAATGACTTCAACTCAAGGAAAAATGAATGCATAAAGATGTGTGGCATGGAAGCTTTTCAGACCGTAACTACGCTCAGCCGTCATCACGTCTTTATTCATATTGATTCCAAGTCGTCGTCATTTTTTAGCTTTTTCAGAGTTGTGCACACAGTCAGACATGCACACACACGCACAGCGCTGTTCTCCCCCGTTAAAACCGTCTCGTCTCTGTAACGCCTCTGTTACTACCTCTGAAGACGGTACAGAGGGGCGGTCACTTCGTTAAAGGGATACTTCACACATTTGCATTAAGCTTTGTATCATTAGAAACCTGGTAGTATTTTTGAATGGTCGTGCATCCTGCCCTCATTTTCCCCTGAGATGGGAAATCTTTGTATTTTTAAGTCTGAAAAGCAGCTTCCAGTGACGCATAAATTACGATTTTTGCGTCACTGGAAGCTGTTGCGGTTAGCGGGGTGAAACTACAACGCTAGTTCCTCATATTTTTGACCACTGAAGCTACAGACCTATCATGTCATCTGCCCGCAGCAGCCGAGAAACTAAACCGGCATGTCGGCAGCAACCGTCTCTGGGCTATATTGCTATATTACTGGCCGCCGCTGCTGGGAAGTATCCCTTTAACAGGTCATCAAACTGGGACCTGGTACTGATCCTAGTTAAAAGGTCATCAAACTGAGACCTGGTACTGATCCTAGCTAACAGGTCATCAAACTGGGACCTGGTACTGATCCTAGTTAACAGGTCATCAAACTGGGACCTGGTTCTGAGACTAACCCAGCTGAGAAAGGGTCTTGTTGATTTTTTGAATAAAGACACCAACTTATCTGGCGGCAAATCTTCACAGGTTTTTCAATTACGGAAACAATAAACTGTGAGCAGCATTTTGAGTAAATCACATAATAACGGGTCTGAACACGAATGAAGAACCGTTTTCCAGAAGAGCAGCAGCAGGACTTCCATCATGCCGGGATGACGTGCTCATAAGGCCCCTTCCACACTCAAACAAGCCCAAAGAACATGCAGTAAAATGTTTTCTCTTTACTTCAGGGTTTCAGATAAGCCTGTCTGGTGTTTCCCAAAGTAAGCCCTAGACCTCGCACACAAAGCACACTGACCTTGGACTCTGTGGGTGCATCTCAGTAGTCTAAAGTGGTTTCCTTTCCTCGCCGGCTCTCTCTGAGACGCGTTTCTGTTCTGTCACTGGAAGCCGCTGTACACTACTGACCAGCCTGTGTGGTGCTCTGGTATTTGGGGGAGTCTGTCCGCTGTTCACTGCTGTCACAAAATCAGCTTTGGCAGAAAGGAAATGAATTTGCATCGAGGGCTCAGAGGTTCAGGGATCTGTTTGCACTGAAGAGCTGGCTGAGGAGGGCATGAGGAAAAGACGACTCAACACTTAAAGTCAGCACGAAGCTTCAAACCCAGCCCATGGTGGATCTATTCTACAGAAACATTCAAATCATAGACTGTATATAAGAACTAGACTGGCCTCTTGATTTCGTAAATCTGCAGTCCTCCTAATGGCCAGCAGGGGTAGACTTGTCTGTTTGCTAAACTGGGTCTATGATAAAATGTTCCTGCTTGTCATTGATTAATTCCATCAGTAGTAGTTTAGTAAATGATGGTCCCATTTAGAGTCAGAGAGACAAGGAAGAGGGGGAGGAGTTAAGGGCGGGGCTTCCAGTGACAAGTCATTACCATGGCAACCAGAATAGTGTCTTGTTTAGCGTTTAGCTGTACAATAAAATACTTGAGGCTTTTATTTCTTGGTAACTAAATTTTGTGTAAAAACGGTTTTATGAATCCAAAGTAATAAAACCATTACTGTGAATAGTGCAGGCAGCTTGTTAGCCTTAGCATTAGCATTACCTATTAACGTAGCATTGGCATTAGCATTGGCTAACAGTGTTGCTAGCTAGCGACATGCAAGTTTTAAAAACTGCTCCCTGTCAACATTGATAAAAGCGAAAAATGTTCACAAACCCCAAAGCGACCACATCGAGGCCACGCCCACTTCTTATACACAGTCTATGAGCCCTTTAAACGTCTACGGGTGAAGGATGCTGTTGAATTAAGTGTGATTTAAGTGTTGGGTCACTTTGATATGTGACGGGAGCTGTTCAGCTGTGATTACACATTTCTTTTCTTTTTTTAAGTCTATTGTCTTTGGTTCAGGGATTCCCAACACGAGGATTCTGCAGGAAGGCTCGTTTTGTGTCATTGCAACACAAACATCTTTGATAAATATATAAAAATGTATTTCCTCAAATAAAAGTCTGGTCCTGAGTAAAGTCAGAAGCAAAATGAATACATAAAAGCTGATCTCAAATACAGCCTGAGAAAAAAGGCTGTGTGAAAATGGTCTTCTCGTATCATAACAACGGTTTATATATCTATGCTGTTCTTCCTCGTTCTTTTCCGGTTTCTCCTTTTTTGGGGAATGACGATTACAGACTACC